CTAATTAATATTTGTAGAAAAAACCCATTGAGTTGACAAGGGAATTAGAAACAAAACACAGGAAGAGAGACCTCAAGATTAGAAGAAGAGCTGGCTTGCTATTATCAATCTAAACTCATAAAGATCTGAACTATTCACACGAAAAAAAAAAAAAAGACTTACGAATAACGTCTCCAACTTTGAAGGTCTTTGTAGCAGCCCACTGCTTGTAGTCAAGATTCCCAATGCTGGTCCAGCCAGCAGAGTCACCCACCTTGTATTCAGCTGCTTGACATAGCTGCAGGAGCACCACCTCTGCCATCAATACCAGCAGAGCCACAGATCTGTTCACAGCAGCCATGTCCATTTACTCTAGTAGGAAGAGATGGCACAAGAGACTATATATCTGACTATACCTATTTATGTTTTGCGGAAAGGTTTAAGGGAATTGAAGGGGAATGTCTGTCTTGGGGGTTTATAAGTCTTCTCTCACCCTAGGGTTGGTTGTTGGGACATAATTGTGTCTTGACATATATATTAGATTTTGGGATATTCATATTCAGATTTGATTTCTAATTTTATGTCAATAGTTTATGTATCAAAATAAAGTCGGAATGAGAATCCTCAGAATGGTTTTTGAGAATTTCGTGTTGAGATATTATTTCCATATTATAATTTTTTTCCCTGAATAATAGATTTTTTTCTAATTTCTCATATAAATTTGTTAAGTGGTGTATAACTCCATTGATTAATTACATTAAAATTGATATTTATCATTTATTCTTTTCTTTTTCTAAGATATGTCAGTTAGCTAAAATCCTAATAAAGAAGAAACGTATACATGGAGGATTCAAAGGACGAGGAAGACCATGGGCCACGGCCACCCTAAGCTAAAATGAGATTAATATATGATATAATCTCTATTATAAAAATATAATAAAAGAAACCATCGTCAAGGAAAAAGAAAATATCAAAGTCTTATTTTAAGAAAATTGGAGAAAATATATATCTTCTTGCGTTTCCAAAAAAAAATA